TTAACCAGGGCTCATTAATTATTCATAAAAATTAGGGGTGTGGTCAATTAATAAAATGACTAAAAAGTCATTTGATAGCTCACAAAAGCTAGTTACCACACTGAAATAACTGTAAAATGGAGCTGATACTAAGTATAAACAGTTGTGGCTATTAAAAATGAATTCTAGTGATGATCTCACTCCTAATAATAACAAGACACACCTTTTGGGTGTGGTTTTGGTTGAAAACTACCAGGGCAAAGCCCTGGCTTGCCCGGGCCTATAGCCGCCTATGGATTTAGCTAGCTAGTTGTTGACCACACCCATAGCTTATTTTAATTATTATTATAACTATGCAGTCAATAATAATAATTTTTTTCAAATTGCTTAAAATATCACAGTACAAGTAATACATATCACTCAGGTGAATTCCAGCGGGCGAGTCCATTGCACCATAGTGCTTCATTTTTACTATTTACTCTTGCTATTTGTATTAGGTGAAACTATTAATAATGCCAATAATTATATTGTACTTGTTGTGGCTGGTACAGTCACTGGTGGTGTACTGATAATATTGATCATGTTAACAGTATGTGCTGTGATCATTGTCAATAAGAGGAAAAGGACAAATGGAGTATTGATACGTTCTGGTAAATATTTAATATAATTGAAAAATTTTCATAGTGCTGCTTTAGAATTTCCTACTATTCAAGAACCACAAGCTGAGACCAATCAATATCAAGATGTTAATGAGTTGAGAAATGAAGCTGTACAACTGACTTATAGTAGACCAATAGGTGAGGAGGAGGATCCATATCATGTTGATTGGAGTAAGGTAGTTTATATAATTATAGAATATGCAATGTACTCACTTACATTTCTCCAAACATAGTGTTAACATTGTTATTCTATTGCTGACATTACTCTCTTCCATTATCTAGTTTCTAACTGTCAATCACACCATTCCTTCACACAATGTTGAGGTAAGTGTTCAAGTATTTTGATAATAGTACTGTTGTAATAGTAATAGAGTATTATAATAGAGTTTATTATTTACTGCCAGTGTATAGTGAAGAGTTATATTATACAAAATACTGTGTAGGAGGTATATATTTTTTGGGGGATTTAATTTCATGAAAATTTATTTTATCATACCAATAATGGTCAGTAGGAAAAAATGCAAAAGAATTTTTCTTGTGAATAGGTTGAACTTGAAAGGTGATTTACTGATTTTTGTGAAATATTTTTTCCGGGAAAATGGAAATACATGTATAACCCCTATACAGTATTGTACCATGTTATTTACTAGTGCACTGACATGTTCTGGTTATACAGTCAATCCTGTCTATTCTGGACACCTTGGGACCCAATAATACCCTAGCTCCTGATTATGAACCTGTCCTTATTTCAGAGGTTCATTAATACACATTACTATTGTATTGGGACTGATACTACCTGTCCTCATTATAGACCCCCTAGACGCTAAGACTGTTTTCAATGAATTATTTATGGTAGCCACCCACGATTTAAATTACTGATTGCAAGAAGCTCTCCACATC